TTATCTTAACATATCGAGGAGAAATATGACCTAAAATATTTCTCAGACGCCTGTGAATCTGTTGAGAGATATAATGTTGAAGTAATTTCTCAGAATCGGTAAATGAATTCGAGAAATGAGACTAAACTTTCCTCCTCAGGGCATGTTTATTGTGAAGGAGTGTATGTATGTATGTATGTATGTATGTATGTATGTATGTATGTATGTATGTATGTATGTATGTATGTATGTATGTATGTATGTATGTATGTATGTATTGTGTATGTAAGCATGTATGTATGTATGTATGTATGTATGTATGTATGTATGTATGTATGTATGTATGTATGTATGTATGTATGTATGTATTGTGCATGTAAGCATATATGTATGTATGTATGTATGGTAAATATACCAAACTGTACCGATTAAGTTACATAATGACAAATAATATTCATAACAACAGTAGAGGAGATGAGAGGGAGAGGAGGGGAGGAGAGGAGAGGAGAGGAGAGGAGAGGAGAGGAGAGGAGAGGAGAGGAGGAGGAGGAGAAACGCCCACAAAGAGACAACACCACCAAGAATGAACATACACAGAATATAATTGCAGCAGCCACTTGTTTTTGTGGAAAGACGACAAAGCCAACTAGTTCTACCCAGCCATCAAAAACGTCTCTTCACCATTTAGTAAACACACAAACGGGATGTATTACACACTTACTGATAAATATTCAATAGAAAAGACTCATTATATAAGCGTTGTTTAAGCTCCTATGGCCTTATTGACAGACACACGTACGTAAAGACAGGTTTCATCATACTAATACAATCTATGACATTTAACATTAATTACTCAAAATATTCATTGTAAACACAAATATAAAAATTATTACTGACTCAGGTAAATAATTACACGTATTTGGACAGGTGTTGTGAAGTAGACAGGTTAAACAAAATGCATAGAAAAACTTAACATTATTCTTCTTCCTCTCTTCCCTCTGTCTGTCTGTCTGTCTGTCTGTTTCTATCTTCCTCCCTTTCCATCTATCTCTTCTCTATCTGTATCTCTCTTTATCACTGTCTATTTATCTCCCTTCCTCTCTTATCATCCCCCTCCACTCCCTCTCTCTCTCTCTCTCTCTCTCTCTCTCTCTCTCTCTCTCTCTCTCTCCATGTACGTATGTCTATCTGTCTGTCAGTGTCCGGGGGGGAGGTAGAAGGGGAGTAGAAGAGGTAAGAAGAAGGGGTAAGAAGGGGGTAAGGAGGTAAGGGGAGAGGAGGGAAAGAAGGGAGAGGGGGGAGAGGAAGGGGAGAAGGGGTAGAAGGGGGAGTAGAAGGGTAGAAGGAGAAGGGAGAGAAGGGGAGAGAAGAGGAGAAGAAGAAGGGGGTGAAGGGGAGGAGTAGAAGGGGAGAAGAGGGAGAGAAGAAGGGGCGTAGGAGGGGGGAGTAGAAGGGGGAGTGAAGGGGAGGAAAGGAGAAGGAGTAGAAAGGGAGTAAGGGATAGAAGGGGATATTAGGGATAGAAGGGGTAGAAGGGGCGTAGAGGGGAGAGAAGGGAGGAAGGGAGGAAAATTGGGGATTAGAAGGGAGAAGGGGAGAGGAGGGGAAGGGGATAGAAGGATATAAGGGGTAGAAGGGGAGAAGGGGAGAGAGGAGAAGAAGAGGGGGGGGTAAGAATCCTGGGTGATACTTTCATAAAGATAAGGCCAGTTGTTACTAGCAGCCGGGCGACCCCTTCACCGAACATCATGATGGGTAATATACTCATGGCCCTAAAACTTTCTATGGTCCTTAAACCTTCATGGGCCCTCAACACTTACTGTACATGGCCCCTAAACACCTCAAGGCCCTCCAAAAAACTTCATGCTTCCAAAAATCTTCATCTCAAAAACCTTTATGGCCCCAAACACCTTCCATGGCTCAAACACCCCATGGCTCCGCACACACCTCCATGGCCCCCAAACACCTTCCATGGCCCCCAAACTTCATCCTTCCAAAAATCATGATCTCAAAAATCTTCATGGCCCCAAACCATCATCCAAGGCAACACTTCCATGGCCCCCAAAAATCTTCATGGCCCCCAAACACCTTCCATGGCCTCCTCAAAAATCTTCATGGCCCCAACCTCCCATGGCCCTCAAAAATCTTCATAGTCCCCAAAACCTTCATGGCCCTAAAAACCTTCATGCCCCCCACCCCCCCAAAAAAGAAAACTCCATAGCGTTTTAATTTATCTAATAAATTAACTGGTAAAATAAGACTCCACTTCTTTCTAACATCTGAGTAAATTTCCAATAAAAAAAACAGAGCACGATATTTCCATTTAACAAACCATGTAAAATAGTTAAGGCCGGCTCGTCACACTACCTGTAACCAGAAATTGCTAGTGTAATTTTTATTCTTATCTATTTAATGTCTGTACATCCTCGTATGACTCAACCGATTTGTTTAGAACAGGTTAGCGAAGCCAGAACCTAAGTTGGGTTTAATTATTTTGTACATATTAAACAACGTAGATTTCCACAACTAAGTGACCAAACAATTCTACCATACAACTACAACTTTCAACAAGACGTTTCCATAGCTTTCCTAGCCTGTGTAGCTGTTACTATAATTTTCTAAGCCTGTATCACTTAACCACGATTTTCCATAACTTTCTAAAGTCTGGGGATCTAAACGATGATTTGTAATTTTAGACTTTCCAAGCGCCTCAAAACCAAGCAAAACAAGTTTATCCGATAATTGGATACTCGCTTGACGATGAAAAACTTGTACACATGGCTGCTGTTGTCGGTGAAAAGGAACAGCCATTAAAGAACGTGTCAATCGCTTCAACCAGTTCCCAGAAACAAATGAAGGTGCGGTGTCATCATTCGCTATATGTGATTACTGTATTATATCTATGTGTGTGTATTAATATGTATTATTTTCTCTCGGTACATATTTATATTATTTACTTATATATTTACCTGTAACTCGAGGTAGTGTGTCGTTATACATATACAACTTAATTTCCGTGGAACTTTAAACACACGTTATGACAAAGTGGGGTAGATTTTGGTCACTGTTGGCTAGTGGACCAGTTCAGGGCGGAAGGTATAAACGAAAACTCTAGAAAGCGCTCTGACCCGTCATACTAATTAGGATATATCATTAATCCTTATATGAAACAACATTATAGGATATCACGGTCTTAATTCTTTTGTCCTTCTCCTATGTAAACATGAAACACAATAAAGCAGAGAAAAGGAATGAGGTAAACTTTTAGTGTGTGTGTGTGTGTGTGTGTGTGTGTGTGTGTGTGTGTGTGTGTGTGTGTATCCTTCTAACCAAAGCATTTCGTAATTCTTCACAAAAATAATACAAACAAACTGGTATGTCAACAAAGACAAGTGTTTACTTGTTTTGTTTTGCTTTGCTTTTTTGTTTTGTTTGTAATAGAAACAGTTAATATTGTCATTGTTTACATCCTACAGTTTTGAATACATTATAAAGGGGGGGGGGTCTAACTTTGCCTTTATACAGTGATTAAAAAGTCGAGATATTTAAACCTGATTGGCTCTAGTAGCGTCCCATCAGAGGCAACTGTGATCAGCTATTCTATGTTTTAATGTAAAGGAAAGTATGAGTGTCAGTCAACGGCAAACGAACATCCCAGTAACCTCTCTTAACTGTAGTATAAAAACCGAATCGAAGTTTGATCAGGTAAACAGAGTGACCCCCTACACAGACGACATCATAATCACATACTTAGGTGTACAAAAAGTCCCATATACATATCTGATATTATTTAACACAGGTTGAGCTACACTAGTTAAAGGTCTTATCTTGGTGTTTATAATACATCTTGTAGTCTTAGTAATAATAAAGACTTAATATTATATTCTTTCAAATAATCATCAACACAGATTTGCTTGGCTCGTGGTTAATCTACGTGACAATGAAAGGATGGACACTTTATTTTTTGTTCATGTAGCATCTTCTCTACGCCGACTATAGTTGTGATGCACCACTTTGTAAATAAAATGAATTAAAGTGAATTGTAAAAAACTTCAAATAATCCTCAGTCAGGTTTCCTCGACGTAACTTCAGGATAATGACAAGGGGGGTTTATATAAGGCAACGTGTAAATAAGAATTCTCCCTTCATCACTCATTTCATCTCTCCCTTCCCATGTTTCACCTCTCCCATCTTACCTCCTTCACCTCTTTCTCCCTTCCTATATCTCTCCCCTCTCCTGCACACACACACACACACACACACACACACACACACACACACACACACACACACACACACGTATGTAAACTTATAGTGCCAGCCACCATAACAGTAGCACTGACATCAACTAACTCAAGACATCAATGTTGACATCAGTGAATTCATAGTGTCAACCTCCAATGAACCTGGTGTTGACGTCAATGAACTCAACAGTGCTACTTTATATATGACGCCAAAGAGAACCGGATATAACCACAATATAGACTTTTAACCACGACCTTAATATCAACTTATAACCATGTATGGACCTACAGTGCCATTAATACCTCCCAGCACAACCATAGTGACATCTTAAGTGTCACCTTTCATAACCCCATAGTGCCATCCCTCCTAGACACCATATCATACAGTGTCTTAATTCCTACAGTGTCGCCCTCCGTATTATTTGGTCATCGTCCATCACCCCCTATTAATGCCATCTATGCCAGTTTGCTTTCAGTGTCGTCTAAATTATTTCTAAAGTATTATTGACCATAGCAGAATGTTACCTGCCTAGACGTCAATGTACCATCATCTTTGACCCCCCCAAAAGTGTCCCTGATGACCTATAGTAGCACCACCCATGAACCTACAGAGCAGACATGAACCATTTTACTAAGTCAACCTAAGTGTACCTGTCTCCTGGGTTTGAAGGGAGGGTGGGAGGGAGGGGGGCCACAGCTATGGTTGCTGGGTGTTGATAAGTGGTCTGGTTGAGGGGGAGCTGGTTAGACTTAGGGGCGTGGCGATCCCGAGGGAGGGGCTCACACCTGGCCAACAAAAACTCGAGCTAAGTGAGAGTTGCGGTATATAAGAGGGTGAGCCACCAGCACAACACATCTTCCTCACCATGAAGCTCCTGGTGAGTTGTACCTCCTCTAGTGTCTACTGCTCGCTGCCCTCACCTGATATCAACCAATCATCTACAATACAACGATACAAGTCAATAACCTTTAAGGTTACAGGAACGTGATTTCAAAAGATACTTTGCGGCTCATTAGTGATCCATAAATACGGAGCCGTACTGAGGAAATCTGAACACTACTGGATACTCTATATACTATCACTGTGTCATGTTTGTTGAACTGATGATTGGTTGACCATCACCACAGTGACACTGTTTTCTTGTGTAGTAAACTGTCTTAATGGGTTAAGGTTTGGGCACCCCGCCCGTAGCATATACGACTCGTCAGTTACTAAAACTGAAACTAATAAATTATGTCATTATCTAACACTATTGACGGTTGTAGGGATTCAATTTTGATAATCTAAAATACTAAAGTTCATAATCGCGCAGTCATCAAATGTCAGTCGTTGTTTATAATATAGAACACAACGCACAGTGGTGGGACGGCCACACAGCCCCTCGCAGCTCTCACCCGTTTTTTTCCGGGTTGGGCCGGCAGGTGACCCGAGCGAGCATGAGTCATCTCTTACTTGTTTCACATCTCAATGATCACCAAAAATAGTGTGATTTTATGATAATACAAAAACAATATTATTCACTGCATAAATACAATATGTATAATAGATTTCACAGAGTCAGAATACATTAATTCGAGAGCTAATACATTTTATAACTCGATTCAATTGAAGGCGTCACCACACTTTCTAACCAGGTCTAGTCTATAAACTGGATGGGTCTGAAATATAATAATGAAATTCTACATTTAACTTGACTCCATAAAATAATGTTCACTCGTTCAATAAGGTCACTACTAATACACGATGTTCTCTTTTCTATTCTTGTTCTCAATTTGCTTCGGATTTTACATAGAAGGGAGTGCACGGTTAACTAGCTGACTTCCTTTTAATAACTCTTAATTTTACTTTATCGAATTATCATGCAGCTTATGTTCCATTAATAATACAATATAACACAGATCATACCCACTACTGTACCCATCGTGATACAAAGAGAATTTCAGAATTTTAGAATAATTCCTTGTATAATTTAGAATTAGCTTCAATGATGATAAAAGAAACTCTGAAATGACGTTCTGTTATTGTTGTCTTTCTCCCACAAACAGTACAGCACTTATAGTAAATTTAATAAGAATTCCAGTGTTACTTAATGAAGGTCAAGTTCGTTATGTGTAGTTGTCAGTTTATAATCACATGCATTTTGAGGTCTGGGCGATATAGTGAGGAATGATTTGTAAAGTACGACCCGAAAACGTTTAAGATGGGTGGACCAAGGTCGCCAATCCTAAGACCAAGAGATAAAACATTACCTAGCGTCCCTTCGTCAACTTAGAACACACTTTAAGTTTAAGTTCATTTCTCAGTTAGGTTATTATGAAGCATACTGACCCAATGTTAATAACCTATTTTGTAGTGTGTGTGTGTTAGTCGAGATGTCATCAGAGGCAGGTACATGTTGGCATTCTAGCCCCCTTTCTCTTACTTTCTATCACACTTGTCTTGCAACTTTCTCCACATTATATTCTTGCTTTCTTTAATACAACTCTTGCCGGTTTTCTCCTGTATAATATATCAGGACTTATTGATAGCCTCAGTTTATTTATCTTCTTGTTATTGTTATCTATGTCAGTCTTCATCCCGCTACTCTTATGCCTGTTTCTGTGGCACCAAATAATAGGGATTTTATGTTCCACTTTCCTTATTGTAGTATTTAGATAACACACGATAATGCATCAAAATTAATGAATAGAATATATAAAATCCTGGACAGGTTCAGTGACTAATGGTATCCAGCTTAAAAATAAATTGCCATTATTCTAGTACACTGTTAACTCTCACCGTCGCCCCCCCCCCCCTTACAATACAACTCTCATCCCCACCTTGCAATTTAACTACTCAATCTTCCAGCTTACATCTCTCCTTCCATCAACTCACATCTTAGTATCATATGTAAACACAACACCACCTCACCTAGTAAAAATAATATTATTTTTTTATACGGTTTCTCCATGTCCCCATGAGCTGGTGAGAGTCGTGTGGTGTAGGAGATCGATCTGTAGAGCCGGATTCCGTCCCCATTAACCCCTTAACCTAACCTGTAAGGTCCCGACTACTCCTAACGGACATACAGTACATCACATAAACATTAAAGAGGCAAAAATATGAAAAGAGGGAAGATATTGGTTATTGTCCCTGAGATCATAACCCCTATCTCGATTTCTACTCGAGATGAAAAAAAGAAAAAAAGAAAACACGCCATAACTCCAAACGAACGGACAAACCACAAAGGTAGAACTCACAGGTGTGTCTATAATCATTTACTCTACGGAGAATAGAAATAGGTACCGAGTCTTTACAAGGTGAAACATATCAAGAATCTTTATTAGTTTTCTTCCAGTCGAGAAATATAATACGAGGACACAGAGAAAAATGAAAAAATTTAGCAAGTTATTTTTTTTGTTTAAGTGTTAAGGTCTATAGAAACAATGAATAGTGAAACCTGAACACCAGTCGCATTATACGTTTGGAATTTAGTAATAAAAAGTAACACTTGGAATAAAGCCTCAACTGCTTTTGTAGAATAAATTAGCCCACTGGGTAAGATACCGTAACCTTAACCCTTTGAATACTGCAACCTCGTTCTTAAGTTAATGTAAATTGTAGTTAGGAGGATTAAGTTATCGTACTGTCAACCAATCCGTGAGGAACTTGTTCATCTGGTCATCACAAAGAGAAACTTGGGTTCATCAGCCAGGAAATTATTAATCCAAACATCAACAACCTGCCACCCAAGAATAGAACTAACACATCGGTATCGTACCCGTCTTGGCCACTGACAGCTTTAACAACACCGTTTCGGCCAAACAAATGAAAATCAAAATTTTTCCACTCTTGGCTATTTTCCATAAAGTTACATTTTCCCAAGAATTTCCGTGACAGAACCTTGATATTCAATGTATTTATTTTTTCGCTTCAATATACGTTTGTATTTCACTCAGAATTAAAATGAATATTTTTTTTAATCATATCGGTAGTTTTATTTGTACGTGACGTGTCATTGTTTATTACCTCCAGTAGCTAACACACTTGTGGCACAGTTCCTTAAACACTCCCCGAGTCCTACTTTGTTACAGTGTTTGTGGTCTTTTTTTTTCTTTTAGGAAGAACACAATTAAATAACAGTGTTAAATGTTAATCTGATGATTTGCTACCACAGGTACTGGTCTCGTTGCTGGCAACGGCTGTGTCAGCCGCCCCTCAGGGCTACAACGCACCTCAGGGCTACAACGCCCCTCCGATCTACACGCCCGGAGGCCACGGGGGACCCATCAGTGGCTGCCGTAACGGAGAAGTTCTCAACGTGGATGGAACCTGCACCTTACCAAAGGTCACACAGAAGATCTTTGTGTTCACTGCACCTGAGCAGCCTCAAGTCATTCCCCCACCACCCCCTATCCCCCAGCCTGAACTGATCAACAACGTTTTGTTCGTTCGCGTTCCTGAACAGAAACCAGAACCTGAGCCCATCGTTCTGGGCCCTCCTTCTGTCAACAATGTCGTATACGTACTCAACAGACGCCGACCTAACCTGGGCCAGAAGGTCATCGAGGTCCCAGCGCCACCACCCAAGACTCCTGAGGTGTACTTCATTAACTATGATGACGGCGACAACCCACAATTACCCGGTGGTCTTGACCTTCAGACTGCTCTCAACTCCGCTGCAAGTGCCGGAGGGCAAGCCATCGTAGGTGGAGGAGGTGGTGGTGGTGGAATAGTAGTAGGTGGAGCAGGAGGAGGAATTGGTTTGGGAGGAGGATTCTCTGACGGGGCTGGATTTGGTTTCGGAGACAATGGTTTCGGAAACGCTGGCTTTGGGTTCGGTGGTGACTTTAGCGATGAGCATGGCGGTTACTTAAGTGGCGGCGGCAGCGGAGGAAGTGGCATCTTCCTTGGTGGTGCCGGCGGCGGTGGTGGTGGAGGAAGCATCTTCCTTGGCGGCGGCGGAGGCGGCGGCGGTGGTGGTGGTGGTGGCGGCGTCGTGGTCCAGCCCACAGGTTTGTACTCCCCGCCCTAGATGCGCCCTGGCCACCCATGCCTACTCTGTTAACCATCAGGGCCTTAGCCTAGCCCTGCTGACCCTCACTAATACTTGTGATCCAACATTATAGAATATTTATTTTTTTTAAAGGGGATCTGCGCTTGGTGCGATGTCTAGTCAGTCCCAGAATTCCATGTTTAATATTCCTCACTATAAATATATCGTATCTTCTTCTATGTTATCAACCTTTTATTAACCTAAATAGAAAAAAACAATTGTTCAAGCTCATTGTGTATTATAGACGACCTGATAGAAGAAGCACCTGAAGGGAGTCTACCCACATATCTGACTATCATACACCTGAAGGGAGTCTACCCACATATCTGACTATCATACACCTGAAGGGAGTCTACCCACATATCTGACTATCATACACTTGGTCTGGGGAAGAATCCAAATAACACACATCATTACTCATGTGACCCGAGACCTCCGGCAAAACTACACAGTTGGTCCAAATTACAATGACACACATCCTAAACCAAACGCAACCAACCATAACAAATCAAACTAACACACAATGGTCATAAACTATCTGAATTTTACAACACACCTAACCTAACCTAACCAAACCTAACTTAACTTAACCTAACAAGTTACTACTGCAATACACATATACCCGTAACTGCACCACACATTTTAAAACACACACACACACACACACACACACACACACACACACACACCAGACTATTACAGGGTTTTGAATGTAACAGTAATACATCATTTACACATTTACATCTAATATATAAATGTAAATTAACTTGGATGCACAGGAGGATGAGACATAATAGGTAACAGTAATATATCTTCAGTAGGTAGTTTTCTCTTCATTATCACCTGCCTCCATACACAAATGCAAGACACACCTGTACGCAACACACCTGTACACAACACCTGGATATAACACACCTGTACGCAACACACCTGTACACAACACACCTGGACACAACACCTATACACAAAACATCTGGACACAACACACCTGGACACAACACCTATACACAACACATCTGTACACAACACAGCTGGACAGAACACCTATACATAACACACCTGTATGCAACACACCTGGACACAACGCACCTGTACACAACACACCTGTACACAACACCTATACACAACACATCTGTACACAACACACCTGTACACAACACACCTGACACAACACACCTGTACACAACACACCTGTACACAACACACCTGGACACACCTGACACAACACACCTGACACAACACACCTGACACACACCTGTACACACACACCTGACACAACACACCTGTACACAACACACCTGACACAACACACCTGACACAACACACCTGGACACAACACACCACACAATACACCTGGACACAACACACCTGTACACAACACACCTGACACAACACACCTGTACACAAACACACCTGTACACAACACACCTGGACATAACATGAGTAACTACCACACACCTGTACACAACACACCTGGACACAACACACCTGGACATAACATGAGTAACTACCACACACCACACACCTGTACACGACACACCTGGACACGACACACCTGGACACAACACACCTGTACGCCTGCACACAACACACCTGTACACGACACACCTGACACAACATAAGTAACTCCCATAAAACCTGTACACGACACACCTGTACACAACACACCTGCACACGACACACCTATGCACAACACACCTGTACACAACACACCACACGACACACCTGTACACACAACACACCTGTACACAACACACCTGTACACAACACACCTGTACACAACACACCTGTACACAACACACCTGTACACAACACACCTACACAACACACCTGTACACAACACACCTGTACACAACATAAGTAACCCCTATATCAACACACCTGTACACGACACACCTGTACAACACACCTGTACACAACACACCACATACACGACACACCTGTACACAACACATAAAACCTGTACACGACACACTGTACACGACACACCTGTACCTGACACACACGACACACCTGTAAATGACACACACGACACACCTGTACACGACACACCTGTACACGACACACCTGCACACGACACACACCTTACACAACACACCTGTACACAACACACCTGTACACAACACACCTGTACACGACACACACTCCCACCTGACACACCTGTACACGACACACCTGACACGACACACCTGCACACGACACACCCACACGACACACCTATACACAACACACCTGTACACACACACACACAACACACCTGTACACAACACACCTGTACACAACACAACCTGGACACAACACACCTGTACACAACACACCTGGACACAACACACCTGTACACAACACACCTGTACACGACACACCTGTACACGACACACCTGTACACACAACATAAGTAACTCCTATAAAACCTGTACACGACACACCTGTACACGACACACCTATACACACACACACACCTGTACACAACACACTGTACACGACACACCTGTACACGACACACCTGTACACCTGTACACAACATAAGTAACTCCCATAAAACCTGTACACGACACACCTGTACACGACACACCTGTACACGACACACCTGCACACACACACACTATACACAACACACCTGTACACAACACACCTGACACACGAACACACCTGTACACGACACACCTGCACACGACACACCTATACACAACACACCTGACACAACACACCTGTACACAACACACACAACACACCTGGACACAACACACCTGACAAACACCTATGCACAAACACCACACAACACACCAACACACCTGTACACGACACACCTGTACACGACACACCTGCACACGACACACCTGCACACGACACACCTGTACACGACACACCTGCACACGACACACCTGCACACGACACACCTATACACAACACACCTGTACACAACACACCTGTACACAACACACCTGGACACAACACACCTGTACACAACACACCTGTACACGACACACCTGTACACGACACACCTGTACACAACACACCTGTACACGACACACCTGTACACGACACACCTGTACACGACACACCTGGACACAACATGAGTAACTACCACACACATCAATACTACCACACACAAAACTAATCTTCTTGGCTCTACAATGACATAAGCCCTCACTGTAAACCTGAATAAATGTCTGAATGACCTCACTGTAAACCTGAATAAATGTCTGAATGACCTCACTGTAAACCTGAATAAATGTCTGAATGACCTGACTGTAAACCTGAATAAATGTCTGAATGACCTCACTTGAACATCAGTGACATCATATGACCACGCATGACCTACACGAAGATAATGACCCGCCCGGGATCCAATCGACTGTACACCCATGACCTTACATGACCTTGACCTCACATCGACAAGTATCACACACCATACACCACGTGACCCAACTTAACACCAAACGTTGAATCACCTTCCTCCCAAATTGACTTATAATTACCTCATACATCCTGGCTGCACTCACTCACTCACTCACTCACTCACTCTCACACGCACATACTTTCTCTTCCCCACAGCGGCATCAGATAAGGAAAGGTGATCTCGAGGCGTGGTATTACCTAGGTGGAGCTGATAGGTGGGTGAAAGTTACCCTCTCTCACCGCCCGCTCTAAATTATCCAAGGTAGCAGTTAAGACCTGTATACTTGCTGCCACCACCCACCCACCCCTATCACCACCCACCACCCTTCACCCATCCCATCACCCTTCACCCATCCCATCACCAAACATCTCCCCTCCTCCCTCTCTCCACAACACACATCCCTCTCAAGTTCCCATCCGTCTTCCCTCCCACTATCCTTTTCCTCGTTTTCTCCTAACCTTCTGTTACTCATTCTTCTCTTCGTCTGTCACTCATTCTCCTAATCGTCTGTCACTCATTATTCTCTTCGTCTGTCACTCATTCTCCTTATCGTCTGGCACTCATTCTTCTTCCTTTCGTTTGTCACTCATTCTTACAGCTAACATTTCAACCATGACTACAACACGCCAGAATGATACCAAGTTCCCATGAAACATATAACACACTTCACACGTCACTTCACCAACAGACTGACAGACAGACAGACAGAGATATAAAAATACTCTCATTTGATAATTTACCGAAAAATATAGAATGGAAAAGTTGACTCAATGTGCGATAGTTTGTAAAAGAAGCACTGCACATTATAAAGGTACCTATGTTAACACAACCTGTATTCTCGCTATGTGATCAAACAATATGGTAAGTGAATAACGTTGTGGTGAAACTTGTGAACAGTAATGATTTTTTGATGTACAAGGCCCAGCATCCCTGTTTCAAAGTACAGTAACGGCAGTAAGGAGTTACAGGGTTAGAAGTCTCCTTTCCTACAGCTTCCTACTAGACACGTGAGGTAAATGCTCTCTCGACTAGTTTTTCTGGCAAAATACTGATATTGAAGCCAAGTGCAATGATCTCTTGGATATTATATGTTTTTACTACTAAATAAAACACGAGTTGATATACGTATATACGTTAATATACAACATATACGGGTTTATTTACGTATATTAATGTATATAATCATAATACAAACAACATTTGATCATCATTATCATCCAGGCAAATCTGACTTAATTCTGGTATAGTTTGTCTACATTATGATAAACATCTTAAATTAAGCAAAAATTATTAACATACTTGAACTAATTTCCTGAAGTTATTGAGATAAGTTATCCTATTTAGCCGAAGGTGGCGTGTGTGTGTGTGTGTGTGTGTGTGTGTGTGTGTGTGTTTATCAACCCCGGTACAACACTGTGGCTAGAACTGACCCTAAAATACCTCTCATCACAACTTGACTAACGATAAACTTCTCAACCAAATTATATTCAACATAAACAGATAAAATGAATATAAAATACTATGTTAAAAAAAAAGAAGTAATAATGATAATAAAATAAAAGAAATTAATACCGGTTTTACTTTCTAATGGCACAAAAACCTGATTCAGGAGGGGATAGAGGGAGGAACCCCACCACACCACCCCCACCCAACCCCACACCCCCACTCCCCCAGGTTAGCGGTATTCTTGCCCAGTACTGACCACAAGCTGCCCCCCCCCTCTCTCTCTCTCTCTCTCTCTCTCCGTAACACAGGGTGAGATATGGTGGTTTTATCTGTGTTTT